AATATGTCTGACAGAGAGCCCCGGGGCTATCCAAAGCAGCGGCAACAGCGGCCCTTGTCAAACAACTGTCGTTGTCGACTTCAACTCTGGCAGGCTGGTCATCAGAGAGAATCCAATAAGCGGATGTGACGCTAAAGGGAAGCTGATCAATGCTGGGGTCCCATCCCTGTGTATGTTGCAACATACGGCGAAAATCAAATTGCGCTGGAAGAGGCATGCCGATTGGGGAAATGACGACAAGAGCACCTTCATACAAAGCAGCAAGCTGGCCATCCTGAAGCGGCTCAATTTGCCCCGGGATCCAAACGTCAGCCTCAAAAGATGCGTCAAAGCCAGCCCCGCAAAGGATATCGGCCCTGCTGGGCGCAAAAGGGACAATCCCGACGTAGACAAGGCCACATGTCGCCCTGCAGTCAAACAAGACCGGTAAACCGGGTAGTGGCCAAGGAGGCACAGCAACAAGAACGGCATACTGTTGTGCTGGTTGCGGTGTCACAACGATGAGCCTAGGATACAATCGCCTCTGCCTAGAAATCCTAGCAGACTGGATCTGTGGTAGAACCTGTGAAGGGGAGGCAGGCACGCGAACAGGAATCGCGATAACATCAGGGCGAGTCTCAAAGGCAAGTACAGCGAAGATGCCATGAAGAAAGGCAACCTGATGGGCCGCCGGGGGAGGCACGGGTTCAGGGGCCTGAACAGCGTAACCCAGTTCACGCCCAGCAACCTGATCGTCAACGGGGAGATTCCCGAGTCTGTCGACTGGATTATCACCCCTTGCAATACTATCAAAGGAATGTGCAAGGCTGGGGAAATCAGGATGCCGAAGCTGACAGTGAGGATAGCAGACAAGACCGTCATCACGCCGTGAACAAATCCGTTGGCCAAAGAAAGTGCTGTCATTACGAGCAGGGGGGAGGACAGGGGTGAGGTACCATGTGCTATCGAGAATAGCGTCCTGTGAGAAAATGGTACTCCACATGACTTCTACAACCCTCCGATCGCCGGGGGAGACAACAAAATCGTGGTCTTCAGGGAAGACCGTAACCTCAGGCCTCTGCGTCTCAAGGCAGTTGTTTACACCTGAGGGGAGGCAACGAGGTTCACCCCCCCCTCTGGTCTTGTCGAGAACAATAACCTCGGTGCTCCCTAGGACTAAACTGCTGGTCAGTACTAATGGCCGAAGAGGCGAAGTGCAGAGCCTGGAAAAGGGGTGAGCCCCTGCAGCAAGTGTAGGCTTTGCCTTGCTAGTGTAGGCAATAACACGTCCGGAATCACAATGCGGATCGTAGGATCTAGGCCTGGCAATAGCCTGGATCGTGCCAGAAGTACAGACTGGGGGCGTGACATCCCCCTCACCCTTATATCCTGGAACCTGAGGGTCCTGAGAGGCGGCAAGAGCAGCCGACGGCTGATCATCAAAGATTCTTTCATACGTAGCAACAAAAACCTGGCCAGCGACAGCAGGAACAGGTTGGTTGATGCCTGCATGTGGGAGAATTGTCAGTCTCCAATGCGGCGGGGGGAAATCCCCAATTTGTTCTGCGACCTGTTGAAGATCAACCCATCCATCATGGACGAGCAGGTGCCAACCCTGCAGAATGGGCCTACAATCAACACTAAGTCTTGCCCCTCAAGCCTCCGGCCGATAGCAAGCACAGTTCTACAACTATACCCGAAGACAGTGCAGTCAAGAACTTGGGGGACAGCAGGACTAATCCTGACTTGTCCTGCCTCAAGGGAAACTGCGTGAGCAATTTCGGCACGGTAGCTCCACGGGTGGGCGGGGTCAGCAGTATGTAGATGGAAGCCCCTAGAGGAGACACAACAATAACAAACCTGTGGATCCGGCATAGGATAGGCAGGTCCATCCTGCCACAGGCCTGGATGTCGCAGTAACTCGTCAAGGGTGTCAGGGTAGGGTATGATGGCACCAGTTGCGGCAATGAAGAGACATTGCCCCGGGAATACCCTAATCTCCTGGCCTGGAAGCAAAGGTCCATCTGAGAGGGAGTCAAGGACATCAACCCTGTTGGCAGCGGGGATGCCAGCAAGTCGAAGGACTATGCTTCTGTCAACATACAGCGGTGATTGCACAGCAAACAACCTACCATCGTACTCTCGCGCATCGAGAACTATAATCATAGCCTGCGGGTCCCACTCCGGCAAAGCAAGCAGGAGGCCCCATCCACGTGTGGGTTGAGGAAGGACAGGCGTCAAGATAGGGAAGTGTCTGGCGCGGGAAGCTTCACGGCATTGTTGAACTTCAGCAAGAGCATGGCTGGAATCTGCAGGCAGGACTAGCTCAACAGTGTGGCGCTCTGGAATAAAATCAGGAGTGATAATGGCAAAGGAGAGCCGAACCAGCTCACCTAAAAGCTCCTGTGCAGTGTGTGGTTCCGGGCCATGGTTTTCAAGCCGAGCAAAAACCTCCCAAGCAGGGGCGTAACGCCAAGGCAACCCGAATTCGCCCGCATAGTACCTGAGAAAGTCAAGACGCTCAAGTTCCTGGGCAGACAAAGCCGTAGGCTCCTCAAGTAGTTTATGCTCGCGATGCAGGGCTGATGCACGAGGCGGGCCACTCAGCACATGCAGGAAGGCCCGATCGCAATTGCGAAAACCCCAACTGCAATCGAGAATCTCTTGAACACTGATTCCGAAATCCGGCTCTGACTGCCTAGGGCTGGGCCAGAGACTGAGAACTTGATCAAGCTCAAAAGGAAAATGTCTAGAGGGGAGCCCACAAAGACTAAAGCGGCCTAGAGCATCCTTGCTAGTCTTAAGGGCAGGGGCATAGGCAACAATGCCTGAGGCAGAGGTAGCAGCCACATCCCGATTGTTCGCATCACCTCGCCTCGGAGATCGACTACGGGAGTCAGGTGTTGGGTCCTGGTGCTCTGTAACAGGCTCAGCAACGAGTACTGGGGGAGTGCGTTCACCAGCATCAGGATCACCACTAGACTCAGATTCGGAGCTCTCATCAGGGCCGGGGCCCCCTGAGACATTGCCCTCGCTGTCGAGAAGGTCTTCTACGAAACTCAGTACAAGAACCTGACCGTGCGGCACATGCAGAAGGGTACGGGCCCCTCTGAGTTCAGGCTGACCCCCTTTAATGTTGATAGCATACCCCTCGGGGGCGAGTGCCTGGTATTCATTCGTAACGGCATCAAAATCAAGGGTTCCTTGAGTTGCGAGCCTCCAGGTAAAGTCGCGTAGGAGCAGACGCTCATCAAAGATAACGATGTGCAATCTCGGGAGTGGTCGCCCAGGTGGAATGGGTATTCTGGAAATGGATTCCGTGGCGACAAGTACAGTTCTGCAATGTTGCCCAATGTAGGCAGCATCCCGAACACGGGGAACAGTAGGGCAAACCGTGGTATGCGCAAGGACATATTGAAAGACTGCAGCAGTAGCTTCTTTGAAAACCCGAGACGAGTCGTCAGTAGTGACTTGGATGGGGACAACCTTTTGTCCAGCGTCTGAAAGAACCCAGAATGCTGAGTCAAGCCCTCCAAGGTAGGCAGGACAAGGGATGGTCCATATGCGCCCGGGAATGAGTAGGTCCTCAATCGTAACAGAACGAGGAACTTGACTACCAGCAGGCAAGACGCGAACAAGAACACCACTATAAATGCGATAGAGGTGCTCGGGGAGCATGTCCTGTCCTGAGAGCAAGACAAGCATTCCAGGCTGTTCCCCTATACCAGTTTGGAGCAGGAGAGAAGCACGTTTGCAGAATGTTGGCAACACAGTGGCGAAGATCCGTCCATCAATGCACCGTGCATCAATGAGGACAATGCTTCCTTCCTCAAACCAGACAGGAAAGGCAAGGATGGAGACAAAGCCGGTATCTGGCTGTGGGTTGACAGCGATGAAGCTGTCAAAGAAGACAGATGCATCACTGACTCTGTTATCTGCGACGGCACAGTAGACCTCACCTAGTGTGCAAGGCAATCTTAGGGTGATTTGCACGACCTCATGGTCGAACCTGGGCGAGAAAATGAGAAATCCGACCTGCACATCTTCAGCATCAGGGACTTGAATCGCATCATCAGTGACGAGACCTAGGGCTGCTTCAGCTGTGGGTCCCTCACTTGCCTCCCTATCAAAACGTGTTGGCTCCCGGAAACGGAAGGCCTCCTGATCATCTTGGGAGTTCCCAGGTCCCTGCAAGCGGGAGGCATTGCCTAGCTGCGCAGAAGAAGCAGCTACGATATTGAGAGCTCCTAGGATGCAGGAAAAGCTCAACTGTGCATTCGTGTGTAACCTGCACTTTACCCTTGACGAAAGGCACGCCAAAGGGGACTGGGGCAAATCCGGTGGGAACCCCAATGGTGAGGAACCTGACAATGCTATCGAGGTCAACCCAGCCAGGACTACAAACTATGAAAGTAGGGTCAAGGCCGGCACTCCTTGGATCAAGAAAAACGATAGCACCGTACTTGGTAACTTCACATCCTGAAGAGGGCCTTGGCTCGGCAGCAGCGACACCATGTACCCGATGACCTCTTCGAAGAGTGGCAAGTAAGGGACTATTGTGTTTGGCGAAGCCAAAAGAAAGCTCCCCCGGCTCGTTGTGAGTGGACTCAGCAAGGGTCCTCAAGAGCTGATCCGTCTCACCAGAGTGGCAGCGCGGAGTACGTGTGACATGGCTACGGAGGAAAAGCCAGGTGTCCCCACTGTCGAACTCAAAGCGGGGTAAATTATCGTCCGGAGACCAATAACCATAGTGTGTGAGCTTATTCCGTAAAGACGGCGAATCGCCAACGGAGGTGCCGAGGGGAACAAACCTAAAGACGTCCCCATTGCTGACCTCAACAACGGCTTCATCACACATTGGGGTGCTGCTTCCTGGTGCAAAAACCTGCCATTCTCCTGAGATATGAAAACGAGCCGCATTGTCGAGGGAGACCCGCGAAAGAGAACGCCAATCACAAGTTGCATACACGGGACCAGAGCACTTTGAGAAGTCAAGAATATAGACAGCCTTCTCAGTGTGAGCAACCCAATCAGGCACAACCACAAAAGTGGCGAAAGGGTTAAGAGGCTGTGGGTTGAGAGCGACAACCTGTGAAGAGCCCTCATCACCGGCCTGCCTGGCATATCTGCCCGCAACAGCTGCATGGAAAGTCGAAGAGGCAGTGGGCAATTCGTGATGGAGAACAAAGAGACAAGTAGGATAGTCTGCTTTCATGACCGCACATTGAAGTACAAAGACTTCTGGTTCAAGTCGCAGAGCCTCTCGGACGATGTCTCTGAACCCTTGGTTGGCCTCAGCACAAGCAGCACTTTCAGGAGTGTCTCGGAGGTCAGCAGCCTCTGGTGCTTCAGGAAGGAAGTCCGCAGCAAGACCCGTTACGTATGGGCCAACTATGTCAGGGTCACGAACAGCCCCAACACAAACAGGAAGACTAAGAAATCCTAAAAGCCAGCACAGACCCCAGTGCCAAATAAGAAACCTAGATCGGGGTAGGATTCTGTGCCGAGCCCTTCGGGGACGCCAGTCGAGAACTGGGTCTGTGACAGATCCCGCAAGGGCAAAAGGAATCACAAGCTCTTTGTGTCGGACTGGAAAACAGGCAAGAAGGAGTCTCCCCAAAGGAGACCTTCGGATAGGCTTGTGTCCGAGCAGGAGGGTCAACAAAGCACTGAAAACGGACCCACCGAGCAGAATAAAAACAGAGATGGCCTGGTGCGTAAACCAAGGAATCCAGGAGAAAAGGGATTCAGTCTGCTCAATCTCTATCAAACCTGTGGACGTCCCTGAGCCACCGATACGTCTCTTAGGCACTAGGTTGATGAGATAACTTTGAAAAACGCAAGCGATCCCGAGGGGACCAGCGACAGCCGACATGTGAGGGGACAGTCGGGAGGAGAAAAGAAAGCCCATAGAGGCTGGATGGTAAATCCAAGAAAAGCACGTATCCAGAGCAAAATGATACGCGACGGAGGAATGCAGGTCACGGCCTTGGGACGCAAAGGTAGGCCATGACAGGCAAAGGCGGGGGCACACCCCAGGGCAAGCAATAGACCAATGCTGCCAAAGAGTGGCCGAGGAGACCTCGAGGATAGAACTGACCCTGGCGGGGGAAGAAGCTGTACAGATTGAGCGAGCAGCTTTCCCTACCGGATAAGGAGCTTTGCATCCTTCAAAATTGGATGTACAACAGGCAGACCCCAGCTGCGCAGCACTGTACAAAGAAATAGAGACATCACCCATCTCAGGACCTGTCCAGACCTCGCAATGCACACTCCGGCGGCTACCAGAAGTGAGATCTTGCACGCAGGGCAACTCAACCGCACACAACGTCACACATGACAGAGTGTAGCAGTTAGGGCTCTGAATGCGATCATGCACCTCTGTGCCGTCGAGTGTAGCATGCAAGGTACTCACGAGTGGACCAGAAGCTAGCCCATGCCATCCAGACTGGGTGCTCGAGCAGCTGCAGGGTGCATACCTGTGTCCGGCGGCATCTCTGCGTCGACATCGACCGTGGTCTCTGGTCTGGAGGTGTCTTCTCCTGTGCTGTGGACGGGGTTGTCCCTGCCCGTTACAGGGTCCACTCTGAACGGCTGCATTGCCTGGCCGCGCTTCATGTCCAGTTTTGCCTGGAGCGTAGGGCCAGAGGGCGCTCCCATATCCGGCTTGGTGCGAGCTTTGACCGGCAGGCGCCTGCCCAGGCTCGGAGACGAGAGGTGTCCTCTCGAATTGGGCGAAGGCACATAGGGTCCCTTGCTGAGAGTGGGGATTGCGTACCCACCAGTCGCATCGGATGCTGAGCAGGTGGCCGTTTCCAGAGAGGAAGGCTTGTCTTCGCCCCCAGCCTTCACACCAGGGAAGATCCCGAACAACCCACTCAACGGGTCCCGGTCTCCTTTGCCAGCTGTGGGGGCAGGCTCCGGGGCCACCACTTCCCTCTCGTAGCGGATGTCCCTGCCTCTTGCAAACTGGAGTGCCTCTGCAAGGAAACCATGCTGCTCGGGCACCTCGTCGTCCTCGTCCATGAAGGCATTCCATGCCTCTTCGACGTCCTGTGCAGGCTCGGGTCTGGGCACTCCCTCGATGCCACGGACGATGACGTCTCTCACCTTGGCAGCTGCTTCCTGTCCGGTCTGCGTCACTGTGATCGTCTCCTCTTCCAACCTGGCCAGATCCTGCTCGTAGGCCGCCTGTTGTCGGAAGAGCTTCTCCTGGAGGTTCTGCTTGTAGATGGTCCATTGCTTCGCCCTTTGTGCCTTCTCCTCTTGGATTTTGCGAAGCCGTGCATCCGCTCTCCTGGCCTGTGTTAGGGCTTTCTGAACTTCTTGTAGTACTCCAGTATCTCCGGAAGCCCCTTTCTGGAGTCCCTTGCGTCCGTCTCCTCGTTGTTCCTCCGCAAGGTCGATCCTGTCGTAGCGATCCTGCTCCCCACGTCTGGGTGACCCAGGCCCCAGGCCACCAGTCCCAGTACGAGGACCCTGAGCCGCCCGGATCTGAGCGTCCTCTTCCTGTCGGACGCTGCTGTGACCACGTCCATGACTGTTGCTTGCCACGGCCACCTCTGCCCATCCCGCGAGGAGCAGAGTGGTGATGTCGCAGTAGCAGGAGATCACGCTCCGAAGGGGGAACGCCGCGGAGGAAAGCAGAGCGGACCCTAAGCCGGGCCTTGGATCGTCTGGCTCTGAGCCTTCTGTGCCACCTCGGAGACGCTGGGTGGATTCCTATGGCTCGAAGAGCAACCTGTCGTGTCGATTGACACTGGGGCGAGTCAGCTATCGTCCGCTGTCGGACGTCTTCTGAGCCCTACACGCATGCATGCATATATACATGCATACAAACGCCCGCCCGTCTGTTTGGTGGATTTCCTGGCTGGCCCTTTATCTATCATGTCTTTATTTGTGACCCGACCGCTTCCCCACCCCCAGCTTTCTGAATTCCTACGTTGCTTGGCTGGAGGCTTTTGGCTTGTTCGTCCCATAGAGTTCCGGAACTTGTATTCGCTCAAAACACCCTAACCCCTAAACGGGGTTTCGGGTTCCGATCGTACTTGGACTTCGGAGAGATATCAAACTGAAACTTTAATGTAGGGGCCTTAATAATTAGAATAGGGTTTGGGGGTATATTATGCTATTAGTCATAGTAAGGAAGCCTCAAAGCCCTACTCTAATTATTAAGGCCCGTACATTGCTGCAGCTGCCCTGCTTCCTAGAGCTTTCCTCAGAAATTTTAGAGCTGGTCGCAGACTGCAAGTGCCCTACACCCGAAGCTCTGAACCCTAAACCCCTAAACTCTAAACCTCCAGACCCTGAACTCTAAATCCTAAACCCTGAAGCGCCAAACCCTACGCTCTTAAACCCTACACCTTAAGTCAGCTTAGGATGGCCCGCTCCCTCGTTTTGACCGGTGCTGTGTTGCTTTGCAGTGGCAGCGTCCTCAGTCTCCCTTTTTTTTTGTTTTTGGGCCAAGGGTTCCTTTAAAGGGCTCCTTTAACAGGATCTGTAAGGGTTCTAGAAGGTTTTAGTTTGGGGCTGCAGGGCTTTAGGGTAGGGGTTGAGGGTTTAGGGTGTAAGGTTTATCTAGGGTCAGAAGTATGGGCCCCTACTATGGGCCCTTAGGCCTGCCTAGGGACCTTTAGAGGCACCTATGGGCGTATATGGTAGGTGTATAAGGATCGCAGGGTTAAAGGCCCACCACTAGGGGCCATGGCTTCAACCTTAGAGTTTAGGGTTCAGGGTCCTAAACCCTAAACCCTAAACCGTCACGGTTCAGGGTTTAGGGTTGGGTTTAGTTTCTTCAAATCTGGGGTCCCTGGCAGCTTTTCGGACCTTTTTGGACTAAGTCAGGGTGAGATCCCGTCTAGAGTCATACGGTTGATGATATGAATCCTGCATTACCCATGATAAGGAATATATACCATAGTTCCCATAGTTTAGGGTCCTGAAGGTAATGCAGGACTTATATCATCAACAATAGTGTTAAGCTCGGCGCCTGGTCTACCCCGCGCTAAGCGCTGTGGAGGCACAGCCGTAAGACCTTGAACCCTAAACTCCTAAACCCTGAACCCTAAACCTTGAACCTTAACCGCCTGTGCTACGGTTGATGGTATAAACCCTGCATTACCTTAAGGACCCTAAACTCTGGGAATTATTAGTATATTCCTTATTATGGATAATGCAGGATTTATATCATCAACGGTATTTATGAGGGATGTTCTGCTACTTTTCTACAGGTTATTCTTTGTCCTATCAGACAGCGGAGACGAGGCACCTATGTGGTAGGTGTCTTGATCATAAGGGAATATCGACATCCTTATGTCTATATTAATTAACTCTGATACGACCGTGCGTAGACTAAGACGGCTTGCGGGTTAGCATGTATTTACCTTACCTCTAATAACTTACCTTTTGAATTTACGGACTTATATAAAGAAATCATAAAAAGGAACCCTAAACAGGTAGGTTCTTTAGGGTCCAGGTAGGGCAGCCTAAACCCTAAACTCAAAACCCCTAAACCCCTAAACCCCTAAACCCAAAACCCCTAAACCCTAAACCCTAAACCCCTAAACCCTAAACCCCTACACCCCTAAACCCTAAACCTTTAGGAACCGAGGCGCGCTCTTCACAGCATTCGTGGCTGCGCCTCGCGCCGCACCCGCCCCTGTTGCGCCCCATGCGGCCACCGCAGCTTTGAGCCCCGGGGGCTGCAAAGTTTCTGGGAGGGCTCTTCTTGTGGGTTTAGGGTGTAGGGTTTAGGGTTTAGGGTGTAGGTTTTAGGGTTTAGGGTCTAGGGTTTCGGGTTTAGGGGTTTAGGGTCTAGGGTTTAGGGTTTAGGGTTCTGTGAGCTTATGTTCCTCTGGGTGTGGGCTTTGAGGGTTGATTTTGCAGTGTGGTTTCAGGGTTTACGGCTTGTAGGGCTTTGAGCTTTTAGGGTGTTGAGGCCTGAGGCTTTGAGGTTTAGTGTCGACGACTAAGAGTCCAGAACCCTAAACCCTAAACATCCCTAAACCCTATCTTAAACATCCCTAAACCCTATTTGAAGCACCCCTAAAACTTCAAACCCTATTTTAAACATCCCTAAACCCGCAACCCGGTGTTGTTTTGCCTCTTCGCTTCTGCCTAGGTTTTTGAGGTTCCCCCTAAGCCCCAAACCCTAAACCCCAAACCCTAAACCCTAAACCCCAAACCCTAAACCCTAAACCCCAAACCCTAAACTCTAAACCCAGCCTAGGGTTTAGGAGAATTCCGAAAAGTGGGGGAGCTTCTCGGCTTCTGGGAGTCCAAAATTTTGGTTGTTAGGGGGGACGTAGGGTTTAGGGTTTACAAGAGCTTAGGGTTCAGGGTTTAGGTTTTAGGGTTTAGGGGTTTCGGGGTTTAGGGTTTAGGGCTTAGGGTTTAGTGACAATTTGGGGGTGTATTTCATGGGGGAAAAATCCCCAACACCCAAAACAGAAAGCGCGTGACTTAACCACTCCTTATCGGGCCTAAAGCCAAAAGCCCGCCTGTCCCCCTTATAGTAACCCTTTAAGAAGCCCTTAAAGGGATCCTGAACCCTAAACCCCAAGCCCTAAACCTTAAGCCCTAAACCTTAAGCCCTAAACCCTAATCCCTAAACCCTAAACCCTAAACCCATTAACCAAAAGCCCTTAAGCCCTGAAAGGGATCCTAAACCCTAAACCCATTAAGAACCCCTGAGCCCACCAAGCAAAAAACCGCCGATGAAAGGCGCCGTCACTTTGGTCGCACCTGAGGCTGCCCATGCTGAGGCACCTGGGGAGTTTCAGAAGCTAGGGTAGGTAGGGTTTAGGGTTTAGGGTTTAGGGTTCAGGGTTCAGGGTTTAGGGTTTAGGGGTTCGGGTTTAGGGTTTAGGGTTTAGGGCTCCTGTAAGGGTTCCTTTAAGGGCTACTTTAGGGGGTTTAGCAGTCTTTTGAAAAGGGTTCGATACGAGTCATTAGCAATACAATTCCGGGTTACTTTCAGGGTCTTGGCGGGTTCATAAAATTGATCGGGCTTCAGGGTTTAGGGTTTAGGGGTTACTATACGAGTTCTAGAGGGGTTACTTTAAAGGTCCTCCTATATGGGTTATATAAGGGTCAGTACAAGAGTTCCATACATGAGGTAGCAGAAGCGTTCTATAAGGCTTGCAAAGGCTGCTTAAAAAATAATGTAGGGGCCTAAATAATTACCAATAGTATTGTGGGGGCTTCTTATTATAATAATTATTGTATAAAGGGGCCCCAAAACCCTATTCTAATTGTTCTGTTAAGGCCTCTATGTTAGGGTTTGGGGTTTCATGTGAGTTGATGGCAAGGACGAGGAGTTTCCTTATGGGAACCTGGCTTGGGTCCTTAAGCACGGTTGAGGGTTTATTGTTTTCAAGGATCCTACCCTTTAGGGTCACCCAGAGGCTCCACATATACTACCATTATGGAATCAGGTCCCCCATTTTTTGTATGCTGAAAAGTGGCAAGAAACTACCTCTTGTGAATCTACCTTAGGTGTTCTTTTGACATAATAATATGCATGGTCTTAATTCCATAGTCGTAATACAAATATGGAGCTCCTAGGTCACTATATAATAGGGGCTTTTAGGGGTTTAGGGTTCAGGGTTTAGGGGTTTGAGGTTTAGGGTTTAGGGTTTAGGGGTTTGAGGTTTAGGGTTTAGGGCTTAGGGGTTTGAGGTTTAGGTTTTAGGGTTAATAGGGTTTAGAAGGGTTGGCGCTGCATGGGATATGTAAGTTCCCAACTGTTTCCCATCCGTCCAAAAAGCACTGCGAGGATCCGGTAAGCCCCAACTTCCGCCCAAAGCTGTTATCCCGAAACTCCCCGCTTTAGGGTAAACCATATAATGTAGGGGCCTAAACAATTACCTATAGTATTTTGGTGAGTTCCTTAATATAGATACAATATAAGGGAGCCCCAAAACCCTATTCTAATTATTGAGGCCCCTACATTACCCTCAAACTCAAGCCCTTATCCCTAAAAAGGGTGGCGCCGTGTGGATCCCTGCGCTCTCCGCCATCGGCGCCGGCTTCGCGATCGGCCTTGCCGCCATCGGCTCCGGCGTGGGTCAGGCAAACCCCGCGACATTGGGGATGCAGAACTTAGGCTGTAAGGATTAGCACTCTGGCCATCCACTTGGCGAGAGAGAAGGGTTTAATACGTCTGTGGTACTACAGTGATACTCTATTATTATACCTGTGCTTCCTCATGCTACGCTTCCAACTTTGCTTTTACATTTCTCACTGCTTTCGCATCGGGGCTGCGACATCCGCCAAAGAATCTGGATGCCTGTGTGTGTTGCAGGGCTGGGTTTGGAGTTTAGGGTATAGGGGTTTAGGGTTTAGGGTTTAGGGTTTAGGGTTTAGGGGGCTGCTCGATCCCGTCTTTCCCTGCAGGGCATTGCCAGCGGCCGCTGCATTGACGGAATCTCCCGTCAGCCAGAGGCCCGCGTGAGCTTGTGATTGGGAGGCTTTGTATGTGTGTAGTATATATATATATTCGTATGTATGGGTATGTATGTATACAAATATATATATATATATGTATATATATACACATATTGGGTTTATGATTCCGAAGCGCCGCCGTGGTTCAGCGGCAGCGAGAGCCAACTGTCAGCGTTGCACAAAGGGGTTGGTGTGGAGGCTCCGCTGGATGTATTAGCTGGGCTTGCAGCCGCACCCTGTACGTTTGGACTGTAGCCAGAGAGCCAAACACCCCTTAATTAAGGAGTATACCTTAAATCATAATATTAAGACCCCTATATATTTAAGGTAGATTCCTTAATTGATAGGTATTTGGCTCTCCGGGTAGCTGCACTTCTTCCGGAATGTGATGGCGCATGGTGGCCTGACCGGAACCCTGGGTTCGGGGCTCACGGAAAAGACTGGGTGAAAGCCCATCCCCATCAATCCCGAATGCTGAACCTGAAACCCTAAACCTTATAACCCTAAACCCCATAACCCTAAATCCTAAACCCTGAATCCTAAACCTTAAACCCACTAAAGCAGACCCGAATCTCTCAGCCGTCGCCCCACGGGTCCCGCGCGTTCCCCCAGGTTGCAGATGACCTCCGAGGCGTGTTGCTTCATGGCCACAGCCTGGCTGGACAGTTTAGGGTTTAGGGCTTATGTGGAGGCAGTCGTACGTGTAATCCTAGACCCTAAACCCTAAACCCTAAACTTAGTTAGGAGACGGTGCAGAGACTAAGGCTTAGGGTTTTGCAATTGTCCCCTCACCTAAAATATGAAGATGCTCCTAAAACACTCATGGTCTTTGTCAGGATCCCTACAGCTATGTCGGAAACTCCCACATTCCTGGAGCGGTTGCCCTTCTTCCGCCACTGTTTGGGTTTTAGGTTTATATCGGGTTGAGAGGCTTACGTTACGGTTTAGGGTCGAAGATTCTGGGTTCAGGGTTTAAGTTTAGGTTTGGGGTTTAGGGTTTAGGGTTTAGAGTTTAGGTTTGGGGCAGAGAATGAGTCAGCTCGGCCTGCACTGTTGAATATAGGGGTCTAAATCGACCAATACTATTTGTGGGGCTGGGCTCCTTTTATATTTATAGTATAACATACCCCCAAACCCTATTCTAATTATAAAGGCTCCTACATTGCGTAACGTAGGTCCTTCCGGCCCTTCTCCCTTACAGACTCAAGCCACGCGTCTGAAAACAAACTAATGTAGGGGCCTTAATAATTAGAATGGGGTTTTGCGGGTTCCTTATTACAGTTGCAATTCGTATGATATGCCCCCGAACCCTATTCTATATTTTAAGGCCCCTATATTATCCGCAACCCGGGAAGCCCAGCTATTGCATGCCCTCCACACTAGTTGGAGTTCCTGTGCGGTAAACTGTGACAAACGAGCTAACCTAGGTGCTGATTTGTGATAAGGAGCCCCAATTTCAAATCATTTTGGGGACTGCTGAAATCGTGACCTGGTATCAGAACCGTAAAGTACTTCAACTCCTCGTCTTGTGGGCTGTGGAATGTCAGGTTTAGGCTTAAACCCCTAGTCCTAAATCGAAAGCCCCAAACCCTAAACCCTAAACCGTTTAGGTGGACGATTCTTGGCAAGTTGAGGGTGTGAGGTCTCAGGGTTCGGGTTTGCGGTTTTGAAGTTTGCGGTGTAGGAGTTTCAATCCGAGGCTGCTGTCCCTGGCCTTCATGGAGTCCTTGACTATTTATGGTCTTGTGATTGCTTTGGTGCCAGCCTCAGCATGAGAGCGGGATGGTGTTTGTCATAAAGCTTCTGCCGCCTCCGGTCTTGCAGCTCTTCATCATGTCATTCGCAAGTATGATGACGACAGTTATGATGATGATGATGATGATGATGATGATGATGGCTGTTTCTAACACTCCAAGCAAAGCAGCCGCATGCGAAGGTGCTCCTCTTCGCCAACCCACTGATCAAGTGAGCAGGGCGATGCGCAGGAAGTTCTCCAGCATGAGCAGTTAGAAGCCGGGTGGATCTAGCGGCAGCATTCATTCTTTAAGAAGGGGAATTCTAAACCACAAGCCCTAAGCCATAACCCTAAGTCCTATAGTAGGGGCTAATCCCAGGTCAAGTTGAGACACCTAAACCCTAAACCCTTCTTCCCTAAACCCGCCCACCGGCTTAGATGAGAGAACACGTTCAAGTGGAAGAGATGCAACAGAGCTCGTGCTCAAAGAAAGAGGGCTTGAGGATGTAGGGCCTGGGTTTGGGGTTTAGGGGGTTTAGGGTTTAGGGGTTAGGGGTTTAGGGGTTTAGGGGTTTAGGGTTTAGGAGTTTAGGGTTTAGGGTTTAGGGTTTAGGGTTGAGGGATTCCTCAATCCCACACCCTTCGATCGTCAACCCCGGGCTGTCCAGAGCTTTCGGGGTGAAATTCAACCAGCAGTCTCCACCGTCCGCTGTTTGTCCGAAATCCGAAAACCTCGCGGCTGACGGTCCTCCACCCAGTGTGGTTCATTGCAGGTCGCCCAAACTCTGAACGCCAAACCCTACCCTACAGCCAGACATTTATTTCGGGGAGGCTTTTTGGTTTAGATATAGATATAGATATACAGACTAAGCACCAGGATCTCGATTAAAAAGATCTTGCGAAGGAGTGCCTCAGTCTTAAAAACCTCCTTCTATGGTAAGCTACTTGTTTTTTGCATGCAGGAACTGCGACTTTAGATCGGGGCTAGGGAGCCATGACCCACTGCATAGCTACCTGGCTTCTTACTAATGAACTACGTGTAACTAGTTTAGGTTGTCACAAAAAACATCTTGGTTTCTACATATTTACTAGGCTCACCCTTGTAGGCTCCGACGGCAAGGTTCTTGGCTTTGATGCCCACAGGGTCCTGGGTACTTTTATGGGGCTTACCTTGCCAAAACATAATACGTAGTACGTCCTACTGCAGAAGCCCTACTCTCTCTCTCTATATATACAAATAAATATATATATGTACTTAGGGCCCTTTGGGATGTGATTGTTGGGTTCAAGTGGTTGGCGTGCACAGGGCTTGTTCAGGGGCTGGGATATCCTAAACCCTGCACCTAAAGCACTCTTTCAGATAAAGGTTCTCCGGGTTTCAATGTTTACAGGGCGTCTTATTGTGGTGTTGCGGGGACCTAACAAGGGACCCTACTTTAGAGAACTACCAGTTTACTGCACATGTGAAATCCTTGTTGCAAGGGATCACACGCTTTGCAATACGCAGACCACATCATGTACTAGAGAGGCCTTGACAATTATCGCCGGACTTTGGGTACATATTTTGCAACCATATAGAACCCTAAACCCTAAACCCCTAGAACGGCTATCAAGGAATGCGTTTACTACTTAGTCAGACCGCGGCATTACGTCGAAATCTCGCGCCTGGTCTTGAGAGGCTCCTCCAACACTACTAGGTACTTGCCAATGAGACCGTTTCAAATTACAGTGTCATGGGGTTTCGGGTTTAGGGTTTAGGGTTTAATAGCGATCTATAGTAAATACTGGGTTGCCTTAGTATGGATAACTTAAACGAAGTTCCTCAACAAGCATGCAGACTAGGCTCGAAGGGGTAATCTGGACGTACGAGGCCTAAACCCTAAACCGCAAACCCTAAACCCTTTTAGGGTTTAGAGTTTAGGGTTTAGGGTGGTGTTTCATGAAGCTGGTATTCCTTGCACCTAAGGTCTCTAGGGTTTCGGGTTTAGGGAGGCCCTGCGCCGGCAGGTAGCGTTTTTGCCGACGCCCATGTTTGGAGTACCTGCTGACATGCGCGCGTACATACACCTGTATGCGCATGTGTGAGTATGTATGTAGGTGGAAGTACACATGTAGCTCATTATATATATATATATATGTGCATATATCGTTATACATACTGACATATATATATATATACATACACATACATACACATAGATATAGTCGTACACATCCATATACTATATATACACACAAATACACTCTGTACATATATGTATATACACACATACATGTATGTACACACACACACACACACATGGGCAAACTCATGTCTTCATTGCCGCACGGCTTCATATCAGTTTTTGCCCGACAGCTTGCTGCAGCATCCCGAGCCTTTGCCGGAATCCTCTCAAGAAGCTCTGCGGCACCTACAGGTTTTGGGAGGATTATGAGCCCTAAACCCTAAACCCTGAACCCTAAACCTCAAACCCTAACCCTAAACCCTAACTCACTTTGATTTTCGAGCTTTTGTCTATAATGCTTCCGGGTTTCGAGGTTTGGGCTGACGGTTTAGTCACTTGCGTCGTTGCAGTTGTCTGTGTCCAGAGAGCCCGACACGGGTTAATTGGTTTAGAGTTCAGGGTTTAGGGTTCAGGGTTTAGAGTTTAGGGTTTAGGGTCTCCAAACTTCTTAGTCAGAAGCCCTCGCGCATAATTCTGAGTTTGTTGCTGTTTACCTCCCGGAGGTATTCCTTAGTTTGGTAATTGTGGGGCTCTCCGGGTAAGTAAGATGGCTCAGGGTCAGGAGACGCATACCGACGACTTTTACATAAATTCGTCGGGCAAGTCCTTCGCTATCAACCCTAGATGCCTAACCCCAAGCCCTAAAGCCTGAAGCCTAAACCCTAAACCCTGAAACTTAAACTCTGAAAACTGAACACCAAACACGAAGCCCACACTCTGAACCTGGAAACACTCTAATGTAGTGGCCTTAACAATTAACTACCTATACTATTTTGGGGGCTCCTGATTATAATTAAAGTAAAATATACCCCAAAACCCTATTCTAGTTTTAAAGGCCCTGCACTCGGTCTCAAGCCTTGGGCCCTACTGACCAGAGCCTGCTCTTTTCCCCCTGTCTCTTAGAGGAGCCTTTACAAGAATCAAAGGGAACTTAGAAAGGCTTTAGGGTTTAGGGTTTAGGATGGTTTAGGGTATAGGCTATACCTTAAACCACCCTAAACCCTAAACCCTAAACCCTAGGGGAATCTCTTGAGGGTACCCTTAACAATAAACCCTAAACCCTAAACAATCCTAGGATGGCCCGATTTCTCGTCCTGACTGGCGCCGTGCTCCTTTGCACCGGCCTGGGCCCTGGCACCGGGAACTAGGGTTTAGGGGTTTAGGGGTTTAGGGTTTTAGGGTTTAGGGTTTAGGGTTTAGGGTTTAGGGGTTTAGGGTTTAGGGGTTTAGGGTTTAGGGTTCCAAAGAGACTCCAATAATGTAGGGCCTAAACAATTACCAACATTATTTTTGGGGTTCCTTATTATAAGTATAGTATAATGGGCCCCCCAAACCCTATTCTAATTAATAAGGCCCCTATATTATCCCAGAATTACGACATCCTTCTGAGATTATAGCAGGAATCCGTCAGATCATTTAGGGAGTATGTCCCCTAATGAATCAAGAAATATCTTGAGCTTGTAGTAGGAAAATGCAGGAACCCTCCTATCCTTTAATTAAGGTAGATATTCGTTAACGGATGGGTTATAGAGTCTCTGGGTTCCGAGGTGTACGTTAACGCACCCCTAAAGTACCCTTTTCGAGAAAACATGCTTAAGGACAGCACAGCTTAGAGATGCTAACAGGTTTGGGCTTCGGGTTTAGAGGTTTTTATGGTTTAGGGTTTAGGGTTTAGGGTTAGGGCTTAGGGTATAGGGTTTAGGGTTTACCCTAAGGGTCCATGTACCTAAATAGTATATACTTTGGCCCCAAAGTACCTATATAGGGCTACTTTAAGGCCAAAGTATATACTATTTGGGCACATGGACCCTTGGGTTAGGGTTCAGGCTAGGGGTTGAGGTGTCAGTTGTAGGGTTTAGGACTCAGGAGGTTGGGCCGTAAGTCTTGGATGTCTACTGGAGGGCTTCACATTCAAGGTCTTCTAGCCCCTAAACCCTAAACCCTTTTCGGGCTTAGGCTTTAGAAATGGGGTCCCTGAGACCCAAGATGATTATAGAACAGAGACTTCAAAAAACCTTAATGACAATGAGATTAGAATAAACAATCCCTTCTAGTCCTTGTGTGTTCGAGTCTTATATCCCATATTAAGGCCCCAGCCCTAAACCCTAAACTTCCTAAACCCTAAGCCCTATCACACATGGCATAGTTTAGTACCCTGGAAACTTTAAGGCTAGTGTGACCGTGCGTAACCCTAAACCCGAAGACTGAATATTGCACAAGAACCCAGAGACTCCAAAACCCCTTAATTAAGGAATATACCTTAAATCGTATTAGGATTCTTATTATAGTTTAAGGTGTATTTCTTAATTAAGGGGTTTTGGAGTCTCTGGGTTATTGGAGTCTCTTT